GGATCATCCACAATGTAGCTCAATCAAGTGATCATCAATGACTAAGAAACTTAGTGGACATCCACTTAAGTTGACATAAGTTTCTCTCTCTCTCTCTCTCTATATATATATCTATATATATATATATATATATATATATATATATATATATATATATATATATATATATATATATATATATATATATATATATATATATATATATATATGTATATATATATATATATATATATATATATATATATATATATATATATATATATATATATATATATATATATATATATATATATATATATATATATATATATATATAGAGAGAGAGAGAGAGAGAGAGAGATATTAATGAGTATCCTTGACAAGGAGGAGATTTTTCTTCTTGACAATCATGTGGCATAATCCTCACCAACTCAAATTCTTTCTCCTCCTTTATGAGGATGGTGGAGATTGTGCCACGTAAGCGTCAAAGAGGGAAATTCCCTCCTTGACACGGATACCCATTAATCTCTCATACACACACACACACATATATATATGTATATGTATATGCGTGTATATATGTATGTATATATATAGACACACACACATACATATATTCATACATACATAAATTCATACATACATACATGCATGTACCATTATCCTACATTTTACAAATTTGCCGAGTCCCGTATCCGTATTTGTCTGTGTTCGTTTCCATGCTACCTGGATTAAAGCCTTTTGAAGAAAACCACCCAACTAGCATCAATGTCCTAATGGTCGTAGTTCGCCATTCAAGAGCGGATAAGGCTAAAAGATCAAAAGCAGGGCTTGGCTTATTCTATTCATCTGCACCACCTGACAGAGATTCGTTCACAGCCTCGTTCAGCTAGCCGGATGGATGTTTCAGTGCATACTCTAGTAATATGTGTTTAACAATTTAAAGGGTAAATAAACTAAAGACAAGTCCTTCATCTAAATCTTTACAATCAGCTGTGTGAATATTTTCTCTCTTTTTTTCCCAGCTACCACAATCCATGTTTCTTTGAGTTGCCTTGACGTCCTCGTTGACCCTTTAAATATACTATTTCCTAATTTCTGATTTCCTGTCCTTACCATCTCAGTAGGTTGACCTTCAATTATCCTCAATTGAAAAGCTTAGTCCTAATTGTAACTCTTTCATTAAAACGTCTTTCTTAACCTAGTTTAAGTGTATTCCTACTCACCATCTCGACTTTCTTATTTCTAAATTCAATATACTCATTTATGAGCATTATCGAACGTTCATTCCATTAGTTCTTTCTGGTTGTATTCCTATCTTATAAAGTTTTATGTTTACCTTTGGTTTTATTGACAATCAAATATAATTCTCTAGAAGGACGTCTCCACGTCAATCATCCGATATGAGGAAAATCAATGAGTTTTAGAATTTATAAGAATCTTTCATAAATGTGACATCATACCTTTAGATGTCTAGACGTGGTGACTTAGGAAATGAGATAACTCATGATCAACTCTTGTATAATGTTTCTTAAAATGCTCTTTGTCATATTTTGCCCTCTACCTAGATGCATCTTTTGTATTTGTTTCATTTACTGTTTCTTATCCTTTTGCATTTTATTTACCACGTTAATAAAGAGAGTCCTTCAATATGAATGTTTCATCTTTGTTTTTCTGAATGACCTTTTCATCTTGGCTTCTAATTTCCTCTTTCTGGAAAATTTGTTTATGCATTTGTTTTATTTTTCTCATATTCTTCTGGACACCTGGTATAGTTTTCCTCGCATTTGCTTGCTGAATATGAGTACATAACAGTTCCATAGCTTGTACAAATTGATAAAATGTTTTCTTTGAGTAATTTGTTTTCTTTTCATTTGATCAATCAAAATGTGTGTTATGTTTGAAAATAGGACTCACACTAATTTTGAAATAATAACTGAAAAAGTGGCTAATTATGCTTAGTAATGTATGGTTTTCTAATAATTTTAGAGCTTCTAAATTAATGATCAGCCATCTCTGTGTTTCTATATTAGTTTATCCGTAATACTGTGAAAATGTTCATATATTTTCATGTGAAAAAACATTTACAGTTATTAGTTTTTTCCAGTACCAAATTTTCCACATTTTAATTCACAGGCCTGTAAAGACTTCCATGCTTGCAAGTGGCCCGCACAGCTCGATGATGATATTTCTCTCGCTAATTACTTTGATAAAATGAATGAGAGTAACACAAGTTTTATGGAAGAAATTCTGAGGAGCTCCTCTCAATTGATTACATTTTCTCATTTTGTTCCAAGGTAAGAAGTCTGGCAACTTATTTGGCTCCAGTTTGGGTGTTAGTTCGTCCTTGAAATAAAATTGAAAAATCCAGTTATAATGATAATAGTGCTCAAAGAAGTGTCAGGTCAGCATATGTGCCTGTTTTATCCTATGGATGTCTTCAATGTATATTAAGCACATGTCGAATCGTGTTCAATGGATCAAACTAAGCAGAGTATTTACCATATTGCTTAATCAGCATATGCTTCATAGATATCTATTTCTTATTAGGGGCTGTTTGTTTGCCTAAAAAAAGAGGGAAATCAAAGAATAAGAAATCTATTTCTAAGAAAAATTGTTTTGAAATTGTTTGGTTGGCTAAAAAAAGAAGGAAATCAAAGAATGAAAGATGAGTTGTCACATTATTATTGGATGATGTGAGTGATTTTTTAAGAAAGTTTGTTTTGAGGTTGTTTGGTTGGCTAAAAAATAAGGAAATAAATTATAAGAAACCTATTTCCTGTAATAGGTTCTTTTCTTGTGTTTGGTTCATTCATAAAAATAAGAAAATAGATGAGATAAGATGAGTTGTCATTATATTATTGGATGATGTGACCCACACTTAAGGAAATCGATTTCCTAGTTTTTTTGGAGAAAATTGGTGTAAATGAAATGTTAATGAGATGAGATGAGTTGTTACCATACTATTGGATGATATGAGTGATTTTTAAAGATGAGATGTGGTGGAGATGAGATGAGCTGGATGATGTGACTCATTTGTTGTGATTGGTTTATTTTAGGAGATGATATGAGATGAGTTGTGGGATGAAAATAATATTTTATTGGATGTTATGGTGAGTTTTAGGGATGGAAATGGATGAAAATAATATTTTATTGATTTCCATGTACCCTTTTCCTTTTCTTGATTTTTAGGAAACCAACCAAACAACCCCTTAATGTATAAATTTGGTTCTGGATAGTCTCTATTTATGGTTTTAAATTTTCAAGATGTTCTGACACAGAGGACACTAAAATTCATATATGAACTTTGAAGCAATATAAGTGTCTTAAGTAGGAAAGCAGTAGTCTACAAAATGCAAGTCTAGAACTAAGCATCTCTTGATCCATCTTAAATTTAGTTCCTCTAACCAATACACCAAAACTCCGAAGTTATGGTGATGAACAATGATTATAGTTTTATATTAATTCTAATATGTCCTCACAGGTTGAGGGCCCTTTTTATAGGTCGAAATCTGGACTCACGTAGCAGTGTCAATTTTTAGAAAATCCGTATTTAATTTGTGACCGGTGAGGATAAAGGATTATAGTTTTATATTAATTCTAACAATCTGAAAACTTTTTTTTTGAAAACATTAAACCTTAATTGTAGTGAAACATAATTTGGTGGAGTACATCTTTTTCCCATTATCTCTGTTTTGGTTTAAATTGGTGCCCCGGGTTCTATGTAGCCCTGACATTATCTTTTACTCCAGAGATCACATAGGATCTCATACAGTGTCTTGCTTTCTTTGTAAAGTTAGACTGTTCTCTAACTAGATGACAAAAAGGTAGTAGGTCTTCCATGTTCCACCTAACCAATTTGCATGTTTTATGTCACAGCGCCTGTTGTTTATGGTTTTATATCCAGGCCAGGAATGTTTTCCACAACTTCATGATGGGGTGAAATTGTGTTGAGAACTAATCATAAATAATTAGTCAATTCTTTTCTGGATCTTTCTCGACTTTGAATCATGTTATATAACCAACTTCATGATCCCAAAAGAATCATAGATGATAAATTGGTTAGTGTGATGTGTTGCAAGTTTAAACTATAATTTTCGATGTACGCTTCCTCAGTTTAGTCCATGGTTAGGTGATTTTTTTTATTTCAAATTAGTTGGAGATTTATCCTTTTAACTGTTTGCTTCAGGCAAGAACTTTGCCCAGAGAAAAGGATGCTCTTCTACCCCAATCTTCCTAAGATCATAGGCTCTGATTTTCTGGAGGCTAGATTGAGATCAATACATGGAGAAAACGGGAGTGCTTCAAGTTGTCATGTATTCGGCCATACGCACTTCTGTTGGGATGCTGTGCTTGAAGGTCTCAGGTACCACCAATACATCTATCAAGTTTACAAAAAATCAAGGGTTAATTGCAGATAGACCCCCTTACTATCATTGTTTTGGACCTACTTCTCTAGTTTTATTTTGCAAAAAGAGCCCCTGACTAACCTTTGACTCTTTGGTCTAAGGCAAAGAGTAAATTGTTTTTGCCCCTTAGGGTAAAAGAAATTCACTCAAGGGGTCTGTCTGCAAAAATACAAGGTCAATAAGTTCCAAACCGAGTTACTATCGCGAGCCCATTAGCGCAATATAAGCAGTAGGCCCCACTGAGGGTAACTCGTTGTTTGGCTCAATCTGCTACCAAAAAGTGTTACCACTTGTTGCTCTTAAGTCTTTTGAATTACCTAATAAATACTTCAAAATCCCCATCATCTTTCGACGTGGGACTCTTATCACTTGGGGCATCATAATCACCCCACTTTATATATATGACATCCTCATCGTGCATGACAATTGACACATCCCAGTATTATTCCCAGGCGATGTGGACTCTAGAATTGGCTCCTACTGGCTCTAGAGGTGGCTTCAACTACGCTCACGTGGTATAGCACGTAGCCATGTATAGAATTTAGCTCCACACTTTCGGCTGACAAACTGCTCTGATATTATTTGTCACGACCCAATGCTTACATCGTGCCAATGAGCTCGTGGGGCTTGGGAGTGACAAATGCAACTTGTCACGCCCCTAAATCACAACATAGTTTTGAGATGCATGACAACGATGACATGTGCAAAAACACATGTCGAGCTTGCGCTACACTTCTATGTTCCAAATAAAATTTCATTTAAAAGAAACTTGTTCATATAGAAGTCTCAGAGCAAAACTACATCATAATAAGGTCACTCCAATGAGTCAAAAGGCTCTTAGGTAGTTTTTGGTTCACGATGGGACCAGGACTAGGACATGGCTAGGGACTAGGATTAGGTGGGACAGGGATTTGTAATCTGAGTCCCATGTTTGATTGCATATTCAAAGTCCCTGGGACTTTAATGCCCAAAGTCCCAATCTCATGTTTGGTTTTTATAATTAGAAATACAAGTTTTAGTCCTCTGTTGTTTGTTACCCTACACTTTATTCTTAGATTAGAGAATAAATTTTATATATAAACCCATATAACAAACTTATAAAAAACTATACAAAAGAAATTACATTGACGAGGCTCCAACATGAAAATTAATGAATTGTGAAAACTCGAATAATTCTTAAGCGAGTAACAATTTAAAAAATTACAATAATAATTCTTTTAAACAAATTGTAAGTTTGCTTTGCAGTCACAGCTACAACACAAATTCTCTACAATAGGAAATAAAAACAATATCCACACAACCACCTTTTGAGGTGACATATGTTGAAAGCACCCTAATGCCACTAGGAAGAAACCCTAGAGGGAGGGTGAATAAGGTTTATGCTAATCTAATCCGATTTATGCCAATTAAAACTTATTAACAAATTATCCTAGCAAATAAGATATGAACAATATATGTGCAAGGATAATAAACCAAGGATAATATGAACACGAACAAGATAGTGGGAATATAACCAATAAGCAATAGACAAAGACGATATAAGATATGAACACAAAAATAAGTACGCCAATGCAATCACAAACAAACAATATGATCATAGAGTTCGGTCCCCACGACCTACGTCTCCGTTCCTCAACTCGAGGAGATCTCCACTATCATAACCGGGTTTTCTACGCTCACTCGAATAACGTTTACACCTCACACTCCGTTTTCTGGTTCACCGAAAACTTTACAATCACTCACAATGCAACTACACTAACTATTACATCAAGTGTTGGTCTCTAGCCCGTGTCTCCCTCAAGTGTTAGGAATTACAACATCTCTCTAGGCATTACCACCTACCCCACTCCTCTTGGGACGATCCCGTCTCTCACCACACACTCCTCTTGGTGTACTAGTGTAATACAAAGTGAATCCTCATAATTAAGCACAAATACACTTCACACAATTGCAAATACACTTCACACCCTCTAAGTGTTGACCTAGCCCGTGTCACCTTCCTCAAGTATTCGGAATTACCACCTCTCACTAGGCTTTACTACCGACCCCACTCTTCTTGGAATCGACCCCGTCTCTCACCAACTACTTCTCTCGGTGTTCAAGTGTAATACAATGTGCAACTCACAATGAAGCTCATAAATATAAATTTGTTCTCTATAATAGATGAGAACACAATGTAGGCTCACACTCAATATCACACAAACCCCACAACCCAAATTATACAATGTATGAAAATACAATAAGGTCAATGGTTGTGTGTGTAAACAATGAGTAAATAAAATCAACTAAAGTCAATATAAACACTAGCTTAATGAATTGATATCAAACAATATAAATATAAAGCTAGATTGAGTTTAAAAAACTTCTTTAATAAATAACAAGAGTGAGAGAGAGAGAGATGAGTTGAAGCTCAAACACCAAAGGATGATCTCCTCTTTGCTCTTGTAAAAATTTCTTCACAAACTAAACTCTTGAAACAAACTAAAACCAAACTTAAAACCCTTGTAAACTTGTTTAAAAACTTTCTTCGTGTTGATTTTTGGTCTGAGGTATGAGGGGTATTTATAGACCCCAAAACACAAGAAAAACAAAGCAAAAAGATCAAAAACCCAAAACAAGATAAGGCTGGAAAAATTAGCCGTTACAACATCAGTCGATTGATGGCTTTCATCAATCGACTAATGAGCTGATCGTTAGAGATATTTTCCAGCTCATCAGTCGACTGACGGACTTTATCAGTCGACTGATGACCTCATCAGTCGACTGGTCAGTCGACCAAAACAAAATAGAAACTTTTTTAAATTGTAGACATTTTCTTCAGTCGACTGATTTAATCAGTCGACTGACCAGTCGACTGATAACAGGTTTTCAGCCCGACTGAAACAAAAAATCTGATTTTTAAACAAACAAATTAAGAAAAATATAAAACTTTGAAAAATAATTGTAGACATGATAATACACATGCTACAAAAACTGGTTTTTAAAAATCATCTCCCAAATGAGAAATCTCTTCATTTTATAAAATAGTCCAAAACATGAAAATGTAAACATACTTGTTTTGACATTTTGACTACACCATGTTTTAAAACTTCATAAACTGATTTTATAGACTTAATAGAAGATGTATATTATGATTGTTAAGTCTATAAACTAGAATACACTATTTTCACATATAATCATGAAAAATATATATATGTATATGTGTTGTTCATTTTCATGTATATGTGGCAAAACACATTGTTTATCAAAACTAAACATGATAAGTATGAAACATGTATGTATGTATATAAATAAGTATTTGTTTCATATTTAAACGTAAAAACCATAAAACCAAAACTTGCGTATATAAACTTGTATATAGATATAACTACATATATATAAAAACAAAATATGTATGTGTGTATATGATTGAGCGAAGTATTTAACACACATAATATAAAACCTAAACTAATATACCAAGTGATGATCTTGATTTTCAATAAGCTCTTCTTGGTAAACTTGCGGATAAAGCTTGAACTTAAATCTTTAATTTGAATTGCATAACTTCACTCCACTATTCTGCCAACCTCCATTGGATATGATCGTGAATGCTCGATTCCATCCATCCTCCAACATATTATTTTTCTATAATAAATACAAAAACACAAACACTAGACAAACAACATTAGTAGTAAATTGTTTGTTAATCATCATCAAAATAAAAGGACCCAACAATATATTCACTGTGTAATTTTAATGATGGAGCCGAACATGGAGGTAATAAGAGAATGCAATTTCTCTTTCTATATACACTACTCAACAAACCATGCATTCAATCTAAATATAAGTAAAAGATTAATTACTAGATAGAAAACTACTGAACTATATAACAACTTGTTTTAAGAACTATGCTTTCAATCCAAACATCCACATAATGCAACTACAATAAAGTGAGTTTGAAATAGTGCCCATAAACTCCAACATAGAAACAAAACTAAATATCCAACATACAAATTAAAATGCACCCAAGAAGAGTTGCAAAATCTAGTATCAATAACACAATCCCCCACATGGATTCATCCAGTATCCTCGACACAAAGATCCGCCTCAACTCTACTATTTGAAAATTCAAAAACAGTTCAACCCACTCTTCCTTGATGGCAAGCTTCTCGAAAACTCTTTTAACGTTTTCTTCATCGGTCAAAGAAGTCGTCATGACTTCGTTAACAACATCACTCCTCTTCTTCGATAAATCATAATCAAAACCTACTCTAGAAGAAACTAATGCAGCGGAGTTCTCAATAGTATGTCTAAAACCAAGAGCAGTATTTTCCGACTCGTACCCATCATCCTTCTTAATCATCTTCTTGCTTGAACTACAAGCAGTAGAGGCTGAGGTAGGCGCACAATCGTAAGAAATCTTACTGTAGGAAATGTATCATCTGAAGGGTTAGACTTGTTGACATGGTCATTAGCGTGCACGAATTTTTCACCACGCGTATGACCAAGAATCTCTACCACACTATTTGCAATCCCCTGAGGTGAGAAAAACAAACAAGAGGGGGAAGATCAATATCAAAAAAGTACATTTGGAGAAGAAACATGAAAATCATATTTTAAAACTTTTAAAATGGAATATTTAATGGAAGATCATATGTCATCATCAAACATGTTCAACTATTTTTCTCAATTTGTGGCTTATAATTTATCATCCACTAGAGTTATACATACATTCGGAGTGATAACCTCATGTCATCATCTCATGGATCAAAGCAAATTGCAGCCAACGATAAAATTAAGTGAGGAATCTCAAGCAATATAAGATACAGATATAATATCTCATAATAAAATTATACTGTCATAAATGATGAAAAAGTGGTAGTCTGATAAAAACCTTGTGAATACATTTTTCATGAAATAGATATACTTGATAGGATGGTGAAAACTAAAAGATTTTTGCCCTGCCAAATTTTGCAGAAGACCTTCCAGTCTAACCTCCTTGGAAATCAAACAAGATAAACAAGATCTCTATTTTCTTTCTTTAGCAATCGAACTATATGTACACTTATGCTTGGCATAGAAGTAATAGTATTTCATGACTCAAGGAGAAAATCTTAGCATTTTCTGGTTAGATGAACAAAGATGTAGACCTTTACACACTGACCTCATTAACATTCATGAGCTTTGAGTCCCACTTCCAGTTTGCCATATAACAAGAGGGAAGTGCTCATTCAACTTCCCCTCAGCAAACTCATCAGCATACTTCCATTATCACTCTCCCAATAATTCGATCAAATCCATACTCTATACTCACCTTCAGCAACAAAACATTAACCCAATTATCAGAATCAAGAAAATGAGATTGCTTCTCTATCTTAAATTTCACAAAACTATCATGAAACTGTGGGTATTCTGCACAAAACTACCATAAACCTTTTTAATGGACAACACTACCATTAACTTTATAAATTGTAAAAAACACTATGAACTACTACAAATTGTTTCTCTGAAACTATATTTATTTATATCTACCACCCCACAAACTTCATATGTATAGTATAGAAGATAAATAAAATAAACAAGGCAAATTGTCCAAATCGTGTCACATGCGAAGCACCACCCTATCTATCGTTGGGTATGATAGTTCATCGTAGTCTTGTGCAAAACATCTGAAAGTTCAAAATCTACCCTTTTCTATTAGGCATTTTCTACAAACATGAGGTAGGCATATAATCACTGAAACCAATAAATCACCTTCCCAAGACATTTCTTCAAGACTCCAAAAGCTCGAACAATCGGCTCTGTTATCTACTCCCTCTCACAGCCTATATTGATATATACAATGTATGTTTTAGTGATCATATGACTATATCAAAGTCAAATTAAAAGTCAGGTATCTTCATGTATCTTCTAATAAAAAATTAATGACCTCCATATTTCTCATAAATTTGAGATATATGCAATACAAAATCAAAATCATTCAGGACAACTCATAAACTATGCATGTGTGCTCCTTTAATGGGATAAATGCTATAAATTCAAATCCAATCAAAAGCTAATATCATTTAAAAAAACTTAAAACCTTGGAAACTAAATTAAAATTTTAAAACACTGTAAATTAAAAGACCCAAAATTACCTTCTCTTAAGCCAAAATTTGCAAGCCAGCAATTGAATACTTGGCCATGGCGGAGACCCAAGGAGAGGGGATTACATATCTGCGGAGCTTGCAGGAGAGGAGATCGAAGGTAGAACTGGAGGGGAGAGGAGATCGAAGATGCGGTTCGAGCTCGAAGGGAGAGGAGATCCAAGTCAGAGCTTGACAAGATAGAAGGTCGAAGGTGGAACTCGAGATCAAGGGGAGAGGAGATTAAAGGTGGAGCTTGAGACCGAGAGGAGAGAAGATCGAGGTTAGAGGTGTTGTGCTCTGATACTACTTGTTGGGCTCTGATACCACTTGTTGTGCACGGCAGAAGCCACAACCAAACCGATGTGCTTCGAGAGACCAAATCAAACAAACGCCGAGAGAAGGCCAAACAATGCAAAATAACGGCACAAACTCAAACAACCAATTTTAACGTGGTTCGGCAAGTTGCCTACATTCATGGAGCAGCGAGGGGATATTTGGAGCACAGAAAGAGGTATTTTTATATACTAAAGATTCTAAACATATGCTATTCTGGGTATGAAACTATTGTTTCTGGTTTCCAGGGACTTTTCTGAAAAATGTCTTTGTTCTTTGTTTTAGAACAAAGATTGACCTAAAGGTAAAGATTCTATATTAAGGGGGCTAGATAAAATTATTCATTCCTCTTCTTTTTTCCTTATCTATTTGTTGTTTGCTTATGAGCCCAAAAGAGATCTTTGGGGTTCGGAGGCCACGGTGGTAACCACCAGGAGGCCAAGGGATGGCCGGCGGACATCGCAAGAGGCCCGACAACAGAAAAAGGGTACCTAGGTACCTTTTCCCCCTTCCTTTTTTCCTTTCCTTTTTTAAAATGAAATCAAAGCAAAAGAACCAAAATTCAAATAACTCACCTTTAGAAGCCTACATCTCCTTCCTCCTCTTCCTTCTACACCTCTCAGATCTCTGGAAAAAATCGTTCTTTTCTCTTTGTGTGAATGAACTATGAGGTTTTTGCTAGCTATAAGAAATTTCTATACCCTTTGCCATTTTGTGACTCCAACAAACACTCACTAATTAAAGACATGAAAGAGGTAGGATTGAAACCTTAATATCATTCCAGTTAGGAACTCTTCAATTTCCTTTTTCTTTTTCCTTCATTTAATTGAGAAAAGTGATTCTCTACAACCCACAATTAACCCGAAGACGAATTACATTATGAAACCCCCATTCGTCTTTTTTTTAATAATAAGTTCTCTCCTAATGAAATAGTAACAAATCTGAATATCTAACTAATTTTACAAGTTACTGAGGCTAATAAATACATTGCATTTGTTTCGATTTTGAAATGTCGTGCATGAAGGTTTAGCATACCAATGTAAAAGCAATTACATTACTTAACCCATGAATTTCGTTTGTTTTTTCATTTATAAGTTCTCTCTTAATGAAGATAGTAATAAATCTAAATATCTTAATATGCAGTTAAAAATGTTTTCATCTGACGTCAAGTATATCCTTTTACATAATCTAAGCTTAATACGTTTGAATAATTAGATAAAAATGTAGTAGCTTACACTGAGGACACTGGACATGTAAGTTTTCCTTCTTCTGTTACAATACATTTATTATTTTAGTATATAACTATCAAGTAAGAGCGAAGTCTTGATTTCATTTAATCAGGTACATTCAGTCACCTTTGGCTTATCCAAGAGAGAGGAAAAGAAGGATGAATGGTGGTGAAGATTGGTTGCCATTTTGTATATATCATGAGGGTTTCACTGATACACTCTCACCCTCATACTGGTCAGATTATTACTCCAAAAATAAAAGAGACCCGGAGAATACTGAGCTTGCGCCATGGGTTGCCAGATTTTATGAGAGGTAACCCTAATCAATTCATTTTCTATAGTTTCTGTGTTTATTTTCCAGTTTTCTTTTCTATTTATTTCCTCCTTTTTATCATGTATATGTCAAATATGTAAAACATGCATACCATATATACCCTAGGGATGTGTCCTGTTTGAAAAGAAGCTCCCTTCTTCTTTTCTGGGGATCAGGGAAAGTATTTGTATGCTATTTTTTTCCCCCCCTTGTAATCGTGAATAGTTGTGCAAGTGAAATTTCTGTGCGAAAGGGGCTTATATATATCATACAAATCCTGAACAATCATTATTAGCCGCTTACAAATTGATCTTGAAGTGGATTGTAAAGACTGATCGTATTCGTAACTTTACTGGGCATGTGATATGGATTGAACTTTTCATTCTATGTTTTCCCTAGTGCTTTGACATTGTGGATTAAGGGACCTGTTTAGCAAATCATCATCTCTGAGGAACTTCGCGAGCCTTGTTTCATAGTGTTAGAATACAAAAGTATAACCCTCAACCCTCACTACAACTCCGAAGCATAGCATAACTACATCTGACGTTACATAGTGTTTTTTTCTTTATTGGTTTAAGAATGAGGTGATGGCATAACTACATTTGACAGCCACCGGTTTCAAAGTGAAGGTCGTAGGGGGACCAGAGGCATGGAACTTGGTGGCCTTTACATTAGAACTGCTAACTTTCTTTGGAACATGGAAGGCATGGAAAGGTAAAGTACTCTAGTTGGACGGTGAACGTTCTTCTCAATCAGAGTCCATTTCATGAGTGGAGCCCATACTCGTGGAGGTGATGAAGTCGATAAATTATAAATAATAAAATATAACGTTTATAAACCTGACTAGAAATAACTTCATTAATATCGATCGCCAACAGAAGATGAATTTTACAATTGTGCTTGATGAATTTAGATTTTGAAATCTTTGTGCAGTCAACTCGACATCAATCGTGTCTAATACAATGGGCAGTTAACAAATTCATTGCACGTAGCATCTCGTGCACAATTAAGGAACAAAAACTAGCAAGTC